CAGAATGGCCTCTGCTTACCACCAAATGCTCCTCCATTTCCGCGTTCCCTTGCTTTTGATGCCTTTGTTTTTGCTCTTCATTTTCATCTGGCAGGTTTTCCTCTCTCGCTTGCTCGGCCTCCTCAAATTCGTCTTCGCCTTGATTGTTAGGGTCGTCCGCGGGGTTGATGTCCTCCACAGCTGCCCTCTGTAAAATTTTAATGAAAAGCAACCACCACTTCAAAACCCGGGATCAAGTTTAATTTCATCTGAAAGGCCGCATGCGGGCAGAAAATGAAATGGTCCTTCAGAGGATGGCTCAGGTCTACCCGCGCCAAGTCGCACAAGTACACACCCCACCGTCAGAAGATAAAACTCCTGCGTTGTCTGTCAGAGGCTGAGGAATCTGAATGAAATATGATTGGCACTTCTCTTCTCTAAGGGATTCCAAATTGATCCTCAACACTTCACTATCACAAGTAATGGGGGCATCACAAAATAGGCACCAGAAAAACAGTTAATAAAAACCCAAAGACCAAGTAGGAGAAATAATTAACATGGAAGGTTTAGATGGGCAAACGATAATTTCAGTCACTGGTGTGCTGATTTTTATACAGACAAGCTTTCCTTCAAAGCAACTTTTTCCAGGTAAGTGGGTGAAAAAGCAGTTGAAGAGAAAGAAGGCCCACACCGGAAAGGACCCAAGAAGAGGCTACAGAGAAGGCAGGAAGGGGGCTAGTTCAAAAGTAAATGATCACCCCTAGTATGATCAAAGAGATCAACCAATGAACTTGTATGCATATATGCATAACCCAGGGACACAGACAATCGTGTGGTAAAGGCCTGGGTTTGGGGTAGGGGCAGGCTGGAAGAGGTCAATGAGGAAAAGAAGGGGACATCTGTAATACTTTCAACAATAAAGATTTTTAAAAATATACATATATATATTTTAAAAGTCAATGATCAGTTTCCAGTACAGATGACATTTCTTTACAATGAACACTGTCAGGATCCTGAGAGATCTGCACTGGCCGGGGACAGGACAATGAGAACCACGCTAACCCATTCTTGGCAATATGTTTTGAAAAATATCTCCCCCAACCCACCCTGCCTCCCAAGTAGTTCTCAGTTCCTATGTTCAACAAATTCCCTTCATATTACCAGCTTTAAAATTATCTTGGTTTTCCACTTAAGTTCCCAAAGCGCCTTTCAAAATAATACATGGCCTCATAAAGATTCCGATTTTAGAGCCTGAGCTGGGCAGAAAGGCGATGCGTGTGTGGCTTCCCCATCGCTCCAGTGTCATCAGTAGGACACTTGACCGAAGCAGCAAATGCTCTGGAGGTGGAGATGCCTCACAGTAGAATTTCCTCACTAGTGGCGTTCTCCAGACAGACTCTACTTCAATCCACTTCAGAGCCCTGGGCATGTTGGAGAGCTCACTGCAGCCTCCGCTGCACTATCATCTGTACATCCAGGCTGTACACCTTATTCAAGTGCAAATGACACTCTTCTTGGGAAGATAGAGACCGAGAGATCACCACCTGTACACTAAACTCCAGGTACTGCACCATCTCTTGTCATATGGGTTTCTTTTTGTGCATGATCAATAATTCATGTGGAGAGGAGAGACCAAGATGGCGGCATAGGTAAACACCGGAGACTGCTGCCGCAAACAACCACTTCAAAAATACAACTAAAAGACGGAACGGACATCACCCAGAACCGCAGGAAGGCTGGCTGAGGAGAGACTCTTCAACTAGAAGGAAAAATAACAGCACACCGAGGCTCAGAGGAGGCGCAGTGTGGAAAAAACTCAGGTGCGGAGGTGCGCGCGCAAAGCGGGCTGGTGCCACCTGTACACTAAACTCCAGGTACTGCACCATCTCTTGTCATATGGGTTTCTTTTTGTGCATGATCAATAATTCATGTGGAAATAGAAAAAAATGTCACACATTCTCTTCAGAAAGAAATAGCAAACCTTTTGCAAAAGTTAATAAGAACATACACACTAGCTCCAACTCTGCTCAAGTAATGAGTAAGGTTGAGCAGGCCTGGTTGTTATCTATAATAATAAAAGCATAATATGCTAATAAATCAGATGTCCTTCCGGACAACCTTCTGGATGAAGCCGTGCTGAGAGGGAAGCCCGGGTTCCGGGTGCCTGCCAGTGGCTGGAGGGAAGCTCAGGTCCCGGGTGCCAGAGGGAAGTAGGTGCCGGCAGCCGGGGGAAGGAAGGCCTACTCTTGCATGAATTTTGTGCACTGGGCCTCTAGTATCCTAATAAAATAACTAGATGATCAATTATACCTCCCTAAAGATGGGAAAAGGTGAAGGAATTAAGAAGTATAAATTGGTAGTTACAGAATGGTAGTGGGGAAGTAAAGTACAGCATGGGAATATAGTTAATAATCCTATATAATAAAAGTCTAATATGCTATGTGTCTGGTCGTCCAGTCATCAGTTCAACCAATCAAAACGTAATATGCTAATGATATGCTAAGGGCGCTCAACCACACTCTATGAGGAGCACTGACCACCAGGGGCTAGACCAGGGGTCCTCAAAGTTTTTAAACAGGGGGCCAGTTCCCTGTCCCTCAGACCATTGGAGGACCCGACTATAGTTTAAAAAAAAACTATGAACAAATTCCTATGCACACTGCACATATCTTATTTTGAAGTAAAAAAACAAATGTTTTCGGCGGGCCGCATATGGCCCGCAGGCCGGAGTTTGAGGACCCCTGGGCTAGACAGTCAACCAGTCGCTATGACATGCACTGACCCCCAGGGGGCAGAAACTCAACGCAGGAGCTGCCCCCTGGTGGTCAGTGTGCTCCCACAGGGGGAGCACCACTCAACCAGAAGCCAGGCCCACAGCTGGCGAGCGCAGTGGCAGTGGTGGGAGCCTCTCCCGTCTCTGTGGCAGTCAGACATCCCCTGAGGGCTTCTGGACTGCGAGAGGGCACAGGCCAGGCTAAGGAACCCCCACCCCCACCCCGAGTGCACAGATTTCATGCACCGGGCCTCTAGTATTGTAATAACTATGTATGGTGTCAGATGGGTATTAGATTTACCAGGGTGATCACTTCATAAGTTATGTAAATGTCTCATCACTATGTTGTATACCTGAAACTAATATAATATTGTGTGTCAAATGTAATTTAGAAATAAAAAGCATTAAAGAAAAAAATAAATGAAATAGATAAGACAAAAAGAGGGACAAGGAGGCTAACAATTTCTAATTTAAAGAAGGCATGGTGGAGAAGAGAGGCCAATGTTTCCTGTGTATTCTTCAGAACAAACAAACTGATGACAACAGCAAAAGACTATAAGTCACCAAAGCACTCAACATCCTCTGGATGCCACTAACTGGATACTCCCTCTCCCTTCCCCCTCATCCCTCTCAGGCACACTCTTGGCTTTTGCACAATCACTCCCTTGCTCTTTCACATTCCTGCTCTCTCAGACTCTCCTGCTCTCTCAGACTCAACACTCTCTCCAGCTCTTGCTCTTTCCTGAAAATATTTCAGGACGAGGGTTTCCTGGGGCATTCTTTCAAAATGCTAATTCCAGGGCTGGCAGGCAAATGTGTTTTGCCATCTCTCCATGCAAGTCGAGTGGGAAAGCCGTTTCCATCACGGTGGCTTTAGGCAGCCATCAGGACGACTTTCTCCACAATAATCAAGGAAGCACGGGGAGCCTTTTTTTTAATCCACGGGGTCAATATAAACAGGGCCCATGGGACAGCACAGGCTAAATTTTATAAACACGGTGGTTGGTTTACTAGCAAAAGAGGACAGGAAAGCTGCAGTAAGTTGTACAAAACACCTACACATAAGCACAAGAACACACCCCTCCAGCATTTGTTCTCTATACCCACAGGCAAGGCCAAGGCCTCAGACAACAACCTGAACTGGGAGTCTTGGTCCTCTTTTGGTAAATGCAATACAGCACCATGGTACCTGAGCAACGTTTTCACTTCTCAAACCACACATTCTTATCCATGATTTTATGAAAATGGTCACTGACGTACATACCACCCTAGCAGATTGCTCATCAATCTCAATGATAGTTCATTTCCTTTCTCTGGTTCTCTCTCCAACTCCCACACTTGACTTTTTTTCCCATCCTTCAAGATTACTACATCTTTCAGTGCCTTTCAATTTTGCTGTTATTTTATTTTTTAATTTTCATTTATTCATCAGGGAAAGAATCCTTTGGTGTTTTCCCAGAGCAAACTTGAACCCATTCTCATCACACACACACCCTCCATGGTGTACAGTTAACAACTCTGCTCACATCCTATGATGCAAGCCACCTTCCTCCTGTGCTGATGGAATAACAGGCGTATCTGGAGCCAAAGGCCGGGTGTGCGGCAAACCTGCCAGCTCCCTTTCTGCCTGTGGGTTTCCAAGTGTCATGCCCAGAAGAGAGGACACTTACATCTGCCTCAGAGTCTGGGTCCGCCTCCTGGAGCCCCTGTCCTCGAGGCTTGTGGCCGTTCTCTGGGTCTTCCTCTGCCTCATCTTGGTGCTGGTTGTCTCTCTCATAGGCTAGCAAATCAAAGGAACTAACATGAGCCAAGACGAATCAGACAGGATGCTTTCCTTTCACTAAACAAAAGCCACCAGGAGGCTTTTCCAGAGACCACTCACCCAATCTCTTCCTCCTGTGAGTTTAATTCAAAGTAAGGGGTACTTCTCATTGGCCTGGCTCAATGGATGAGCATCGACCTATGAACCTATGATGGTTCAATTCCCGGTGAGGGCACATGCCCAGGTTATGGGTTCGATCCCCAATGTGGGGCATGTAGGAGGCAGCCCATCAATGATTCTCTCTCATCACTGATGTTTCTATCTCTTTCCCTCTCTCTCTTCCTCTCTGAAATCAATAAAAATATATTTTTAAAAAAAGAAACAAAGTAAGACGTACTTCCCAGCTTTTCTGATAACGCCATGTCCTTTTCCCAGACTGCATGTCTAAGCAGATCATGTGGGTGAGTGGCACCATTCTAAGTCTCTGAAACAAGTGTGTATAACAGAAACTGCAATTTCCCACCCCCATCCCCATTCCATTTTGAAAAAAACAAACAAAAAAATAATCAAAACTCTCTCAAAGAAAGCCCAGTCAACTAGACATTGCTAAAATTACCAACTAATTTTGGTTAATATCAGGGGAAATGTCAAGGTACCAAAAGTAGAAATTGACACTGTTTCAGGAAGTAAAGGAAAACACAACCCATGTGTGGAACGAAAAAACAAACACTGCCCATCCTGTGCTTTCTGACACCACGCCATAACACAAATACGTCCACATTATGCTTACACAGGCATTTACTTGCTGCTTTTTGAAGAAGGTATTTTGATAAAGAGAATTTAGATAAGAGCATAACGAGAACTAATAACTTTTTATTTATTTATTTTTAATGATTTCAGAGAGGAAGGGAGAGGGGGAGAGAGAGAGAAACATCAATGATGAGTGAGAATCTTTGACCATCTGCCTCCTGCACACCCTCTACTGGGGATTGAGCCTGCAACCCAGGCATGTGCCCTTGACTGGAATCGAACCCAGGACCCTTTAGTCCGCAGGCTGATGCTATGTCCACTGAGCCAAACCAGCTAGGGCACAAATAACTTTTTAAGTAAGCTATAAGAGGAAAGGTTAAGTATACGGAGAGCATTTGACCTATAGGAAATAAAGACGCAGGATAACTTACCATCAGGTGTCAAGTGCTCCCAAGGACTCATTAAATAAAGAAGTGAACAAACCATTCTCTAGTCTTACTGATAATAGAACAAAAAAAAAAGCTTAAAGTGCTGACAGAAGGAAAAAAATTCCCTAAGTATAAGGGCTATAAACTCTGAGAATAGGCTATAGAGGGAGTCTGGGTAATCACCTTCCTTTAGACTTTAGAAAGGATACATATCTAAGTGCTAGTGTTTTCAGAGAGGCCGTTACTTCCAGTTCTATTGTCGGGGAGAGCAATATTGGATAAATTACATACTAGGGGCACACTATAAAGGAAAACTACTATTGACTTAATTTTTGAAAACTTTTCAGGCCATGATCCAAAAGCCTCCAAGGTAAGGAGAAAATGAAGACGTTTCCCAGAGCATCCTGGTCTTATGATAATGTGTCAGAAATAACGGTTTAGTATGCAAAAGCTCGGACTACTATTTATTTCCTACGCTGCAATGTTGCAGAGGGAGCGTTACCTTGGGCAATTTTGGCTACGAATGTGCACTATTTGGGAGGTTTAAGAAAAACTCAGGAAGGATTACGAAAAATACAGGAAGGATTAATAAAAAGATACACAGAACACAGGTCTCCTTTGCATGTACTCAGAGATGCATAGAACTCTGAGTTGATATATATTACCAAGCGCTTTTATTAAAACATTCATCATCTAAGAAGTCTTACCACCTCCTTCTTCTTCTTGGATGCCCTGGTCCTCTGGTCCCTGAACAATATCATTATCCATAGCATCATAATGAGCTTGCTGCCTGCAAGGGCACAAACATTATGAACTCAGCAACACAAATTAAGTAGCACAGTTTGACGTAAGTCATTTATCTTTAAGGACAGTAATAAACTAATTTTTCAACTTTTTAAAAAAGCCATACAAATTTCTTTAAAAAGCTTATGCAATTAGGTTGCCAGGTATACTTTCAAAGGACACCTTAAAAACAATAAACTACCTTTCAAATGATAAAATAAATCCGGCACAAAACCTGCCAGATTATTCTGAGACCTAAACTGTCATTTTAAAGCAGATAAAAAAAAATGTTGGTTATTTTTAAAATTCAACATTTGGAATTTAATTCTGCCTCAGCTACAGGAGCAATAGAAGCCCTTCAAGTGCACGGATAACAAATGCACGAAGCTGTTTTTAATCCGCTTCTAAAACCAGAGGAGGGCTTATCCAAACTCATCAGAAGGCTACCGTAGCTGCTCGGGGCGCTGTGGCCGCCCCTCCTCATGCCGGGCCTGCCTCTGCCGGGCCATCTCTTGTGCCAGAAGCTGCTGCTGCTGCTGCCTCAGCAAGTGTCCCTGCAGCCTCTGCTGGTGCAGGGCCTCCTGGTGCTGTCTCAGCCGCTGGGCCTCCTCTGCGCGCCTCACCGCCAGTCTCTGCTGTTCCAGCTGCTCCTCATACGGAGATCGGAATTTGGTAATGGGCTCTGCTGAAGGACGCACCTGGGGAAAACGAGTTGGAGTTGAGCAAAAGCAGTCAGGTCCTCTGAATTCTCCCTTCCTTTGTTTCTCATGACAAACTCGGGAGGCCGGGTTGGTGCATTAATACCTCTCTGTCCGGTGAACAGTGACGACACATGACATCCAAGGTCACCCAGCACCAGGACTCCTATTTCCCAACTCCCTGTGAGTCACCCTTGGCTTCTTAGTCACTGCTCCTCCCGACTTACTGACATTAAGGCCAATTTTCAACGTGCTCCCTCTCAAATGGGAGAGGACAACGAGGAGAAATCAGTGTTGAACCTTAATTAAACTTATGTTCAAAGGCTCTGCTATAAGCGGAAACTTGGCGACCTCACACTAATTGGGGCAATTTGTGAGCTTGAGGCTAAAGACCTAGGGATGCTAATTAACTCTAGCAATGTCTATACCAATCGCAGGCTCAACAGCAGCAAAAATAAGTGAAATTTCAGATTAGGGTGCAAAAGCAGAGAACCAATTTTATTCCAAGAAACAAAGAATGGGTGAGAAGACAGTACCTTCTGATCAAAGGAACAAGTGAGGCAGGAATCCTCAAGCCCCACTCCCACTGAGAGCTCCACCTCTCTCCTCCATCCCCAAGGAGACAATACCCAGAGCAGAACTGCTTTGGAAGCAAGCCACAAAGGACACAAAACTGGGGGAGGCTTCTTGCGGCTAAGTTGGCAACATTATCAGAGCCCCGCCACAGAGGCTGGGACACCTACTCAGCCCAATGTCTCCAGCAGCCTGAAGGCTTGGAGAGTTCAAGGCCAAGCACTGGTTCAGTTATAAATAAAAGGTGGCCAGTCTCTATGCTAAGACCAGATAGCCTATTGTTGAGGATCAGCTGAGACAGCGGAAGAAAGGTACCTAGCTGCATTCAGTGTTGCTTTAAAGTTCTTTTAAAGTACTATTTATAAAAATAATGAATGATGGGTCTAAATCTCACTTAAGGCAGAGGGGAGTGCTCAGTAGGGGGAGTCTGAGCAGAGGTTAAAGATGCTCACCTAGTGGAGTATCCTTAAGTCAGTGGTTCTCAACCTTAGCTGCACATTAGAATCACCTGGGAATCTTTTTAAAATCCTGATTCCTGGGCCTCGTCCTCCGGAAATTCTGTTTCTTTGTTATGGGGTGGGGCCACAACATTAGTAACAAAGAAACAGAATTTCCGGAGGA